CATCCCTGCATCCCTAGGATGAATCCCACTTGACCAGGGTGTATGATCTTCTTGAAGATCTTCTGCATTCTATTTGCCAGTATCTTATGAAGGATTTTGCATCTAGGTTCATTAGTGAGATTGACCTATAGTTCTCCTTTTCAGTTGGGTCTTTCTCTGCTTTGGGGATCAAGGTGATGCTTGCTTCTAGGAATGAATTTGGGAGTATAGCTTCCCTTTCAATTTCATTGAAGAGTTTAAATAGTAGTGGCAGTTGTTCCTCTCTAAATGTCTTGTAGAATTCAGCAGTGAAGCCATCAGGGCCCAGGATTTTCTTAGTTGATAAGTTTTTAATTACAGTTTTAATTTCATTGGTTGATATTGGGTTGTTTAGAATTTTAGGTCTTCTTTGTTCAACTTTGATCATTCATATGTACCTAGGAATCTGTCTATTTCTTCTGTGTATTCCATGTTATTGGTGTATAGGTTCTGGAAGTAGGTATTGATGATCCTCTGGATTTCTGCTGGGTCTGTTTTAATTTCACCCATTTCATTCTTAATTGCATGGATTTGGGTCATTTCTTTCCTTTTTCTGATAAGATTAGCTAAGGGTTTGTCAATTTTGTTGATTCTTTCAAAGAACCAAATCTTGGCTTCGTTAATTTTTTATATCATTCTCTTAGTCTCCATTGCATTGATTTCTCATCTGGTCTTTATAATCTCCTCCCTTGTATGAGTTTTGGGTTTTTCTTGCTCTTCTTTTTCTTGAAGCTTGAGGTTCAGCATCAGGTTGTTTAATTGGGCTCCTTCTGTTTTCCTAATATACGTATTCCCTGCTATGAATTTCCCTTGTAAGACTGCTTTCATTGTGTTCCATAGATTCCAATATGTTGTGTTGTCATTGTCATTTAATTGAAGGAACTGTCTGATTTCTTCTTTAATTTCATCTGTGATCCATTGGTTATTCAGAAGTGTGTTGTTCAATTTCCATGTATTTATGAAATTTTTCCAGTTTCATTTGCTATGGATCTCCAATTTCATTGCACTATGGTCTGATAGTATACACGGGATAACTTCAATTCCTTTGCACTTACTTAAACATGTTATATGTAAGAGTATGTGGTCTATTTTGGAGAATGACACATGTGCTGCTGAGAAAAATGTGCATTCCAATTTGGTGGGGTGGAACACTCTCTAAACATCTGTTAAGTTCATTTGTTCAGCAGTTCAATTGAGTTCTAGTACTTCATTGCTTATTTTTTGTCTAGTTGATCTATCTATTTGTGACAGTGGGGTGTTGAGGTCCCCCACTACAATTGTATTAGTGCATATATGAATTTTCATGTCTGTTAGTATTTGTTTTATATAGTTGGGCACACCAGTGTTTGGTGCATAGATATTTATGATTGTCATCTCTTCCTGTTGGATTGTTCCCTTTACAAGGATGTAGTGTCCTTCTTCATCTCTCTTAATCAGTGTTGGTTTGCAATTTAGTTGATCTGCAAAGAGGATAGCTACTCCTCCTTTTTGTCAGGTTCCCATCGCATGGAGTATTGTTTTCCACCCTTTAACTTTCAGTCTATATGTTTCCTTTTGAATTAAGTGTATTTCTTGTATGCAGCATAATGTTGGATTTTGCTTCTTGACCCATTCTGCCAGTCTATTTCTTTTGATTGGTGAATTGAGACCATTATCATTGATGGTTATAACTGAAA